CTCCCAGGCCCACTATTTGGTGAGGGTGGTGGATTGGCCGTTGATCACCACCCCCCATACCAGGTTGATGCTTGGACTTTAAGGTAAGCTGTACATTCACTTGTTATCATAAGAAAGCGGACTAACACTCGCTGCCACGTATTTTGGGGCATTTATTATGACATGGCAATAAATCCGGATAACCTTATTTTCTTCAATTTCTTTTTAGAATAGACAATGGGACTTATACTAAGTTAAAACTTAACTTAATGTTGCGAAAGGGTAAATGATTGTCAGCCAGGACTCTTTGCATATTACCCCCCCTCTCATCGTTACATCTGTTTTTGTTGTTGTTGTATGTTTTATATGTAATAGGAGTAGGTAGGCTTTCCTATCGCCCGGTCAATACTTCTCCCACTTCTCTTGGACATGAGTAGAGGCTTACGCCTTGTTTCTTGTTTAGGAAGGGGTTTCCGGTACTCTCTCTCTCTCCCTCACTGGCCTCTGTATCTCCAGTTGCCTTGATCTATCCACTACTCTTCTCCTAATTCCTTTCTTCTATCACTCCTATCTGATCTTGCTCCAAATGTTCTGTAACCCCTTGCATCCTAGTGGCTTTCCGCCTTGCTTGGGGTGAAACAACTTAAATATATATATATATATATATATATATATATATATATATATATATATATATATATATATATATATATGTGTGTGTGTGTGTGTGTGTGTGTGTGTGTGTGTGTGTAAAATTTCAGATAGATTATATCTGTAAAAAGGACAATATAAATAAAGACAAAAGAAACGCGGCGGCTGAGATAAGTTAACATATCTTGTGGGTTGTCAAACTTGGCTTTTGACAAAATGCCGCTAGCGTGGCGCGCTTTTTAAGCCTATAAATGAGCAATGATATTCTCACTTGTCCTCTTTTTGGTCTTTTTAGCTTTGGCTTTCAGATGTAGCCGCAACTAGATAAGAACGCTGCCGACAAGACGCGTTATCTTCTTTGGTCCTCTTTTGACTTTTGAACACTCTCACACACATCGAAATGGAGAAAGTCTGACAATTATTTCAAGATATTTTATTGTTTATTCGTTATTTATATAGACACAAATATTTAAGTAAATGCTCTGTTTATAATAAACAGTATTAACAACATTTATCGCCCTGAACATCTGAAAATTTTTCATATAAAATATGCATCCTCCATATATATATATATATATATATATATATATATATATATATATATATATAAATTCATGAATCATTCATACAAAAAACAAATATAGAGGTTAATGATTTAAATGGCGAGAATCTACCAGTAAAAACGAATTCTCTTATTGCTATATTTGTATAAAAACGCACAACCTTAAAATTTAAATTCAAACTCAGCGTTCCGCATGTTCCAAAACAATAACACATTTCTCATAGCATTTTTTCGGATTACATCTCTATTTTCGTTGTCCTCTTAGTACTGAGAAGTAAAAACAAGAACAAAATCTACTTCCATACCTGATGATGTCTGTAGGAACAGACAAAAGCTTGTAAAAATTAAAAAGACCTTATGCAACTGGAATTTATAAACAGGGATCATATCATTCATATACAGATTCGGGGTTGGTGTATCTTATTTATGTGTTTGCGACGATGTATTCTCGCCATTTAAATCATTAACCTCTATATTTGTTTTTTGTATGAACAATTCATGAATTTATAAATTATATTTGCACCTTTTAATTGAAATATATATATATGTGTGTGTGTGTGTGTGTGTGTGTGTGTGTGTTAATATATATATTGTTGTTTCTTCCATATTTATTGGTGTGTGTATTCGTTTTTATCTGGACTCATATATTTACCCAAACATACTAGCATCAATATATATATTGACTATTTCTCGACTATTTATATAACTTACTCTTAGAACGCATACTATGCCGGAAGCAGTATGTGGTAAATCTGAATGGCCCTTTCACTACAGAATTAATAATTATCGGAATCCCACGAAAGATTATCAATTGTAGAACAATATTTCCGCGTAGAAAAACATGATTTTAATAGCCATGCAAAATTTCCTGTTATAGAAAGAATAGAAATAGACATAAAAGATAAACTTAGGAAAATACTATGAAGAGAAATGGATTTTGCGCCTCAAAACCCATTTTTCCGGACGGACTTAACAACAGACTAAATAGCACAGGTAGAATTAATATAATCCCATAGATCAACCACATGCCAATATTTCTCAGCCACAGTAGACAGACATGCTTGCAGAGATATTGAAGTCTCCCACATACACAGGCAAATATATACACATACACACATCACACACTCACCCAAAAAACTAAAAGATAACATGCACATAAGACATACACCCCCTTCCTATCAACCATTAAAACTGTCAGAATGACTAAGTATGTAAATCTGTGACTCATGAATCTCCCAGCCTCTCCTTAAAAGAACTCGGAAGAGGCCTTGTGACCAATGCAAGGACTGACCGAAAATTTACAATAAAAAAAGCAAATTAAAACTATATTCACTTTCCTCAGAGACAGACATTCACCCCTGTAGTTCACGGATACTAATAAGCAGGAATTTTTTCTCCTGTTGATGGACATGCAGGCCGAACCTAGTCGAGGAACCAAATTTAAATAATAAAACAAAAATATTATTATACGACCCAGATATCTGACATTTTATTTTTTTATCATGTTTTATTTTTCAAGACATGTTTGAGCAGCAAACTTTCTTTTAAGCATCTTTCAATGTATTTAAAAGACAAGAGATATTTGCTGAAATTTTTATTTACTTCTTGCAGCATTCTAATATATTTTCCATTTGGAGTAAGTAAGTGCAGATATTGTCCGTATTGTCCTTTGTCATAAGCCCTTCAGGTCGCTTCCTTAGCCATTTTCAAGGGGAGTTGATTTTAGGTGTTATTAATTTATTTTTATGTTTGACTGTTTAAGATACAGTTTTTTATGCAGTTTTTTTTGAATAGTAGTTTTTGCATATATATATATATATATATATATTCAAACTGCATAAAAAAATATATATATATATATATATATATATATATATATATATATATAAATACATACATACACGAAGTACAGTTGGTATGACCTTTGACTGTCAATGTAGCTGTCCGGGTTTCAGATACTTAATATATGTGTGTGTGTGTGTGTGTATGTGTGTATAAAGTGAAATCTCGGTTCTTGAACGTCTCAGATGTCGAACAAATCGGTTTTCGAACGGAAAATTGGGGATAAAAATGCCTCGGGTAACGAACAAAATTTCGGTTCTCGAATAACACAGTCGAACCGAATTAACTCGAACGGAATAATTCCTGAGTCGAACGCCGTGTTGTATACATTCATGTGCTATGCCGTGTTTTTCATTCCCAATTTTATTGTACCATAACTTTTTTCTTTACATTGATTTCTATTGGAAAAATAGTTTCGGTTTACGAATATTTCAGGTTAACGAATGGCCTTCAGTAACGAATTAAATTCGTGTTATATATTATATATATATATATATATATATATATATATATATATAATATAGTTTATGGATATGAGTCTGTGACCCTGAGTTTCATGCTTTAGCGATCCTCAGACAAACTCTTTTTTTTTCTTTTTTTTTAATTGGAACTATTTATGCTTTTTTACTATGTTTCATATTGCGAGGGGTCTATTTCTGTGTCTTTTTTGTGGGGTGGTTACAATTTCATACGTATAGAGACATGCATACAGATGTACGCATTTAGTACCAACCCAACTATATAAGTATTATCAAATTTATATATAAATAAATAATATATATATATATATATATATATATATATATATATATATATATATATATATATATATGCGTGTATGCATGTGAGGTCGTGCGTGTCTTTGTGTGTTTCTGCATGTGTGTGTTTTTCTATGTCTCTCTAATCTACTTAATTTAAATAATAGATAATAAGACATTAGCCTTTTAAATATGGCCTCAAAGCAATGTGATACACGGTAAAAAAATGTAAAACACGTCTTTTTTCACCCACGGTGAGTCAAAGAGAATGAGAATAGCTGTTAATTCTTTCTTTTTTTTCCATTTTTATTGTCTTCTAACCGACCGCCGTCAGATTCTCTGTTTGATGAAGTTTCCAACGCACAACTCCTACCAACAATAGCTTGGATCAACCTTTCTTCTCTCTCACATGACCTGTTCTATCGATTGTTAGTTGATTGCAAACATGGCTGTCTATTGATTACCCGTCGGGGACGAACAGGAAGGGAAACAATTCAAAGACATTGGGGAATATTGGTAATTGATTTCAAGGGGGTAATTCGACAAGAAGAAGTTTGGCATTTGAATTAAATAAAAACGGAAGTGAGGGTGGAATAGCGGGAAGTAAAAAGATTGAAAGTGAGAGAAACAATGAGAGAGAGAGAGAGAGAGAGAGAGAGAGAGAGGGAAACCTGTGATTGAAGGAGGTTGTTTGAAAACAAGGAATGAATGAAAGAGACAAAAAGATAAAAATTCTGTTACATTTGAAGAAAAGTAGGAATTAAAAGCGTAGGAAAAGACCGAAAAATGACACAAAAAAAAAGAAAGAAAGAAGCCAAGTCAGAGGAAAAACAAAGTAACAAACAAATCAGAGAATAAGTAAAAAGAAAGAAAGAAAGAAAGAAAGAAAGAAAGAAAGAAAGAAGCCAATGTAGAACAAAGTAATGTGCGAAAGAAGACAAGCAGATAAATGAAGTGATTAGAAAGAAAAAGAAAGAAAGAACCACATCAAATATAAGGAGAAAGATAGAATGAATAAAAAAAAAATTCCACCAAAATATATAAACCAAACAGAAAGAAAAAAGAAAGAAAAGAAAAGAGTAAATGAGTCAACCAAGGGGGAAAACATAGTAACAAACAAATCAGAGAAAAAAGAAAGAAACAAAGAAAGAAAAAACAAAGAAAGAAAGAAACAAGAAAATGTGAAAGAAAGCGATGTGAGAAAAAAGTCACAGATAAATGAAGTAAAAAGAAAAAAAAAGAGAGAAAAAAAAAGAAAGAAGCAAATCAGAGAATAAAGAAAGAATAAAATATAAAGAGAAAAAAAGAACGAGTAAAAAAATCAACCAAAATAAATAAACCAAAAAGAAAGAAAAAGAAAAGAGAAATTGAATATGTGAAGAAAAATAATATGAATAAAAATAATGAAAGAAAGGAAAGAAGTCTACATGAATGAAAAAAAGAATGAACGAAAGACAGCTGAAAAGATCATTTGAATAATCGAATTGGAAGAAAAAAAGATGTCCTAAAACGAAGGAATTACAACAAAATATAAAGCAGAGTGATCAGATGTATAAAAGAAAGAAAGAAAGAATCAATGAAATATAAGAAGAAAGAAAGAAAACGAGCCCCACAAAATTCAGAGGTGTAAATAAGAAATAAACCAGAAAGGAAGAAATAAAAGAAAATAAATATACGAAAAAAATAATCGAAAAAAAAATCATAAGACAAAAGGGAGGCAGTCTACGTGAATAAAAAAAAAGTGAATGAACAAAAGACAAATGAAAAAGATCATTTAAATAACCGAAAAGATCTAAAAAAAAAAGGAATGAAAAAAAAATGAGCAGATTGAACTGAAGTAAAAAAAGAAAGGATATGAATAAATAAAAAAAAGAATATATAAACTTAAAAGAAAGCGGGGGAAACTACAGGTTAGAAGATTTTGAGGCAAAGAAAAGAGAGAACAAAAGCTAAAAAGAAAAAAAAAAGTGAGGAACGAGGTGAAAAGCAAATAAGAAATAAAACACTTTATTGCTCCTGTGTTGACATCTTAATGGAATAAACATTGTCGCCTAATGAATTCTTTTAAAAGGTCAGGTGGGCCATTTCGTATGAAAGAAAAAAAATGTCTGCCGCAAATTTTCCTGTTTCAAACATTGTCCTTTTTATTTTCCATTTCAGTGTTTCTTACGCATCACATTTTATGTTCTTACCTACTTCTTTTTATTCAGGGGCACCTATTCTGAGTATGTTGCCATTGCGGAGGAAGCTAAAATAGGATATGACCACGTAGTTTCTCTCTGGTCGCCTTTTCTATTCCTTTTATTTAGATATAAATGGATAATAAAAAATATAGACAGGTGAAAAGATAGATAGATAGATAGATAGATAGATAGATAGATAGATAGATAGATAGTGGGGGGAGAAAGAGAGAGAGATGAACAGAGAGAAATAGGAGATAGATAGATAGATAGATAGATAGATGGGAACAGAGTGGGATAAATAGGTAGGTAGTCAGCCAGATAGAAAGAAAGATGCTTAGATCGAGATAGAAAGATAGATACATAAATAGGAACAGATAGAGAGATAGATTGATAGGAATGCGATAAAAAGTTAGATAGATAGATAGATAGATAGATAGATAGATAGATAGAAAACAAGAAAAATGCTCAGATAGAGAGATAGATATCACTTTTGTCTTTTTTCTTCCGTCTTATTCTTGTTGATTTTATATCAGATAGATAGATAGATAGATAGATACCAAGTATGAAAGACATCGTTTAATGAGATGGGGAGAGAGATAAATATGATTTGTCATGACATTAGGTAGATACATAGATAGATACATGGAAAGCCAGATAGATAGATAGATAGATAGATAGATAGATAGATAGATAGATAGATAGGAAGGAAGGAACAGAATGTAATAGATAAATATATAGACAGACAAAAATAAAGATGCTTAGATAGAACTTCCGGTGCCATTCAAGTAACGCTTTTCTTCATCAATCTCTCTCTGTCTCTCTGTCTCTGTCTGTCTCTCTGTCTCTGTCTGTCTCTCCCCCCCACACCAATCGGGTTGGGATCAAAATGTAACATTTGATTTTCTTTTCTCTATTGGTGATGGTAACATTAACTGTTTCATCGAGAAACCAATGATACTTTCTATTGAAATTTATAAAATCTTCCCATTAAAACAGTTTTTTATCTGCAAAGCCGGTTTCTCAAGCCAGTTACTCTTATCGCTCTTTCCAGTATCGATAGCAGTTTCCTTTCTAACCTTATGTTTGAAGTAGTGTCGAAAGTCAACATGTTGATTGTGGCATTATTTTCTCTTCGATTTGCATGTGATATCCATTTTAGTTGCTGTTTGCTGTTGTTTAACCCTTTCAAAACCCCTGGGACAAATGTGTCCCACAGATGTTTTCAACACGTCCTGCGGGACATAATTGTCCCATTGCAATATTTATTATAGTACATTCAATGTTCCCAGGTCAACCCTGACCCGTGGTGGTAGCACCTGTTAGGGTCCCAGCTATGGGCAAATAGTTGACACCAAAACTTTTGTAAAAATAAGTTTTAATACCAGAAAAATTTGTAATAAAAAATATTACCATCAATAATTTTTGAAGGAAAAATTATTATCAGCAATACTTAAAAAAAATTCCAGCAGTACAAACAGTTATACATACTTTGAAAAAATAATGACTAGCTATAGTTTTCTTCAAAGAAAAAATATTCCCAGAAATAGATATTTGATGAAAAACATATTCTCAACAATAAAAATTTTGTTGGCATTAAATAACCCATTGAGGTTGATATGCCGTAAAACAAACCAAACCTAACCAAACCTTTGATTCGATCAAAGTCATATGCAGTTTACCTAAGAGATCTTCGTTATTGAATATTCAGTTCGATCCTCATTGGAAGCTACAAACTTGTGGCCTTATTCCACACATAGGATACTATCTGTCACTTCAAATCATATATATATATATATATGTATACATTAGATTGTGAAATATATATTATATCATAAAGAAGTAATTATACAAAGAATTAATTGGCAATGATAATGTGATTATACAAAGAATTTATTAGCAATGTTAATGCGATTAATGGCGAAATCACTTCGCTAACAAGACTTAATGCCATAACTTCTTAGTACATATATTGCTACGACATATATATATATATATATATATATAGATAGATAGATAGATAGATAGATAGAGAGAGAGAGAGAATATATATATATATATATATATATATATATATATATATATATATATATATATATATATGTAAGCAAATATATGGATATAGATCCGACAGTATGAAAGAAAAATACAGAAAAACAAACAAAAATCTGAATATGCAATTATGTAGTATTAATGTTAATATAAACGTCCGACGTCGACTTTTTATTAACATTAATACTACATAATTATATTTTTTGTTTGTTTTTTCTGTATTTTTCTTTCATATATATATATATATATATATATATATATATATATATATAAAAAAAAGGTTAACCAAAGTGATTAATGTTACCTTCAGCACCTCAACGGACCCTCGAGAATCATTCCGTCTGCTTGTCAGGGCCTATCAGCAATTGACTGTATTTCTCGATTTTTTTTATGCACTTTTCATTGGTCCAATATTTTTTTTGATTCGTGCACGTGCGCCCATGCGTCCGTCTGAGCGTCTGTGCTTACGTACAGAACGTCGTTGTTATTTGGCATTTTCGTCACGTTTTTTTTTTCTGTTTTACTTTACACTCCTCCTTATTGGTTCTTTAGCTTTTCTCTCTTTTTCTCTTTTCCCTGTTTTCTTTAGGTTATATATATATATATATATATATATATATATATATATATATATATAATGTCATGCCCATTGCCCATTGAGTAACCCTCTACCCTCTGTGTCAATTGGGTCTTGTACAGGGTAAAAATGCTGTTTTTTATGGTCAAACACACCTATTCTATAGTTAATAGACTCTCCCACCTAATATAAGTAGGAGTAGTAAGAGAAACGAGGGTCACTCGATGTCAGACGACCGGCTGAACGGTTGAACTCTCTGCCTTCGGGCGGGGAGGAACCCGAACGAGGCTACGCCGAAGGGCGGAGTCTCGTTCGGGGAGGTAAACCGACCCTGAACCCGTTTATATGCGTTTAAAGGGTAAAAGGGAGATCCCACGTTAAACCGGCCTTGTGCCACATGATACCCTCGTAGGGGGGTGACTAAATACTAGTCGATGTCGGACGACAGTAGTCGACAGTTAGTCGAATACGAAAGTAGTCAGCGACCACAACAAGTGTTTGGACTTATTTCTTCCAGGTCAACTACATAGAATCAATGAGGCACTCGATTATAAATTCGTTACGCCAGGGATCGTATTAGATATTGTTAAGTCTTTTAAGCAGTTCTGGTATAGAAGGTTGCAATAGAAAATCTTCAGTAGGGCCTGTGCGTACCATCACTTGAAACGCTCGACTGAACGGAGGAACCTGATTGGAGACCCGGACAGTACTTTGTGATCCTTGCCATCAACATTTGTTTCGTTATTTTTTTTTCTGCCTACTTTTATATACCCCGAACCACGCTAATAGCTTGATAGTGAAATTTAGGATTTCTCAGTTTTCTTTGAATTAATTTTGATAAAACTTTTCCAAGATGATTCGCACAATATGGCCACACCATTGTTAAGGTTTCATTATTCTGTGTAACGTCCTTTATTTTTATTTCAGATTCGACCGTTTCTGGTGAACCACGCTAATGGCGTTTCGCCTCTCTAAGAACAATAGGGCGTAGAACAGGCCTCAACGATGAAGAAAAGTCTGCCGCCACCAAGGAGATTGCTAAAGGCACTTTTCTTCATTGCGGAGAAGTTAGGTCGTCATGTTAGACGATTCCTGTGGGATCCTTCGCCAATGAAGAAACGATCCGATTGTGGGACCTCCCTAAGTCTATGACAGCTACGGATTTAAGGAATATTATCCGAATGTCACGTGGGAAAACCGGATAAACAAACAAAACCATTTTCACCGCCGCTGGACTTCCTCATGATCCCAGAACCACCAAACATCTCATGCCAGGGACCGTGGCTTCCGTGTGAGCTTCCTTGAACCTGACTCATTTAATGCCCCGTCACAGGAATATGAGCCTTCGGTGCGCTCAGAATTACATGACGTTGGAGATGAGTTGTGACTAGACCAGGGCGACCCCTCAAGGACCTGATATTTGGCAAATGGTTGGGTCAATTTCTTTTGTGATTTCAACGAATACTCGTTGCCACTTTCGTAATGCTCGTTGTAGTAGAGACTTTGAAATCACAGATACAACTATAGCGATGCCGTTGAAAAATAGTGGTATCAGTCGCCTTTGAGTGACACTCGCACTAATAGTATTTGCTCGATAATACTAGCTCGACTAGTAACCACCGAATAGTGATCCAAATAGTAAACATTGGAACAGTACTTGTCGGAATTCAAGGTCTGAGAATGCGAGAATGTCTTTCCTGGTACACCAGATAGAGAGCAACACCTTCTTTGGAAGCAGACAACCTTTTGAAGGGATTAACAGTTGCGGCAGTTTTGGGGTAAACGTCACTAATAGCCTCTCTAAGAATAATAGAACGTGGAAAAGGCCACAACGATGAAGAAAAGTCTGTCGTCATCAAGGAAATTGCTAAAGGCATCTTTCTTGATATCCTTGCGGAGAAGTTGGGTCGTCATGTTAGACGATTCCTGTGGGATCCTTCGCCAATGAAGAAACGATCCAATTGTGGAAGCTCCAAGTCAATGACAGCTACGGGTTTAAGGAATGTTATCCGAAAGTCACGTGGGAAAATCGGACAAACAAGCAAAGCCATTTTCACTGCCGCTGGACTTCCTAGTGTACCGAGAACCACCAAAAATCACATCCTCGGAACCGTGGCTTCCATGTGAATTTCCTTGAACCTGCATCTTCTAATGCCCCGTCGCGGAATTTGAGACGTCAATACGCTCGGAAGTACATGGAGTTGGACATGGGTTGTGGTCTTTTCACTGACGAGAACAGGATGTGCCCTCAACGACCTGACGGTTGGGCAAATGGTTGGGTCTATTTCAGAGATGAGCGTCACCAACGTTTACTGCGTCGACATCAGGGTGGAGGTGTCATCTTGTTGGCTGGTATCATTGGAGACAGAGATATTGGCCCAGTGCCTGAAGTCTTTCAAGTGATCGCAGCCGCCTACTGCAATCTCCTAAGGAGGTCTTGGATCCATGGCTAGAGGACATACCGCTGTCACTTCTAAGGACTCTAGTATTCATACATAACAACACACACTCTCTCTCTCTCTCTCTCTCTCTCTCTCTCTCTCTAATTTCTAAGCTCTTACAGCATACAAGGTGTAAGGTTGATGGTGTGACCACCCACCTCTCCGGATCTCAACCCCATTGAAAATCTTTGGTTCACCATTAAATGAGATGTTTATGCTGATGGACGCCAATATACGTCGAAAGATATCTTATAGGCGACCATCAAACCTGCAGCAGAGGCAGTCCAACTTGCTACCATAAAAATTCCACGAATAATAGGGCTTTTGAAGTTATCCGTCACAATGGCGCTCATGTGGCCAAATAATTGATTATGTCAATAAATCTTGTAATATTAATATGGTTTTCTGTTAATATATATTAAGTTACACTTAATACTTGTCATTTTTCTTCATTTTCTCCAAAAAGTGTCTAGATGGGCTATTTCCATTCAAAACCTATTAGCGTGGTTCACTCCCAAACTATCGAATTTGAAATAGAAAATAAAGGACGTCATACAAATGAAAACCTAACAATGGCGTCGCCATATTGGGCAAAATAACTGGGAAAAGTTTTAACAAAATCAATTCGCAGAAAACCGAAAAATACTATACTAAATATGACTACCAAACTACTAGCGTAGTTCGAATTGT